CTAAAATCAAGGACTAAATTGATTTTATTTAAACCATTATGCCATACTCATAACAATTTGGAAGCTAGAAAACAAGGTTAAGCTTTTAACAACTTGGATTACTTACCTTGTAATTTCACCTTTTCATTTTAATAACTAACCCCCAAAATCACGTGATTTTCTATTCTCCAATTTTTTTTCATTCTCGTTTTCAACTTCAAAACTGGCTAAATTCTCCTGCTCACCACTTGTATTATTCATCTCCATCAACGCTTACTCTCACCAAATCCTGCTTCCCCATCTCGACGAGTTGCCTATACACTTCATGGTCGAGCTTAACAAAGCTAAGCAAAGTAGGTGAAACGCAAGAATTCTCTTCAGGGGCATGAAATCTTCAATATTCGTCAGTTCTCGCTCGTACAAAGAAAACCGGGAATTAAATCCATTAAATCTTTTAGTTTCAAGTCAAAACCGAAGAGCGAAGCCAGTTGAATCACGAAATGACGACCTGGGAAGCCTTCAACCGGAGAATACTGGTGCGTAGCTGAACCATAAAAGTCGTTGGCGTTACATGAATTTCGATCACAGTCGTGGCAGAGCATAAGATTATCATCAGAGCAGAGAAAATAAGTCAGTTTGGCTTTGCAGCCGTCACAGATCTGCGAACGAACGTGCATGAGAGAGAGGGCATTGGAGGAGTGGACTTGTTGGCCACAGAACAAATAGAGACTTGCGAAGTCGGCACTACAATAAAGAACTGTAGGTTTTGAGTTGCAGAAGTGTCATAAGAACAACATGGATCTTCTTTGTTTTGAAACCAACCTTATCCAAATACTTAGCCTTCAGAATTGGAAAATTTTGAAGATAATGATTTTGAATTGCAGGCCAAGCATCGGTGGAAATAAAGTTCACATTGACAAATAATAATTGAATACAATAATAGAGTTCACATCAGACAAAAGATGGAGAATTCACGTGAATTCTAGAATCCCTTACCCCATATTCAATTAAAAAAACTAACCCCACCAATTGGGGTGTGACAATTCTCCCCTCCTTAAAATAATTTCATCCTCGAAATTCATTAATGTCACATAATTGCAGAAATGAAACTTTTATAAACTCTTCCATATCTTTAAGTAACTTTTATAGAAATATGGATCATCCACTAATCCTTAACCAATTGAGCATACATCCTTATCAGATTTTTTTTCTCATTTCAATAAATGAATCTGAACAAAAATTTCCTTGAGGAATCAATTCAGCATTGGTTACGAGAATAGGCCCATAGAGCAATAACATATCTCGATTTCATTTCCGTAGTTCAAAATTTCTCAAATGAGTAACTATCACATGGCTCGTGAAGTACTTTACAGAGTGTAGACATACGTTACTGATATTCCTTTATGAAATGGTAGAGTCCTAACGGATAGAAAACTTAGGTTTACTTGTTACATATAGGGACTCAACATTGGAGTTTCGGCTTAGAGAATTACGATTATAGTCTAGGGGCATGTACTGATCAGACATCTTTTTGAAATTTGATCGACCGGTCTATCTTGAAAATTTTGACTTAAACCTAAGCTCTGATACCACTAAGTGTAACTCCCTCAGACCGATACGAATAACCTGATCCAGTCTGGAGTGTCACATTAGGGCCACCGGAGCTACCCACCGTTAAAATGGCAGAAAATTTAAAACTTTTATTAAAACATGTAACTTATAAAATCATTTATCTGTATGCAGAAATAAAACAGATTTTCAGACTCATATATAAACTAAAATACAATTACATGCCCACTAATCACATGTACCGTACTTTGCAAACAACACCGGAAGAACTCCCTTACTGAAGACGATAGCTACACTGGTACGATTCTTTTAACCTGAAAAGGTGAGTAACAGAGTGAGCTTCGGAAAGCTCAGTAATACAGAACTACCAGATGATGCTGAAGAACGTGCAGATACAGATAAATGTATTTTTCCTTATTGGTTCAGATATTTACAGATTTCTTTGGCTGAGCTGAGGTCCAATTGATATTTCAGGTAGTAACAGATAATATTCAGTTCAGATGGAAATATTTCAGATATCTAGGTTCAGGAGATCAGAATAGGTTATCTAGTGTGTTCCCATAAAACCAGTGAAGAGATACAGATCTTTTCTTTTTAAACAGTAGTAATTTAAAAACATATTTTTATTTAAAAACCATATTAATCCCTCCAACCAAATGCTCCATAATGTTTACGTTCCCCGAACCATACACCCACCAACACACCAAGTAAGGACTTACCCTGAGCATAAAGCAGAGGAGCCTGCAGTAACGTTAACTTCCTCCAACAACACCTTCCCATAAAATGTTTATCAAAAATCATATTATTCCCTCCAACCAACACTCCATAATGTGTTGGTTCCACAGAACCTTACACCCACCTGCACACCAACTAAATTCCATGATTTCATAAATCAGGAACAAGTCATATTTTCTATTGAAAACAAGAAACCAGATAACACATTTCAGTTAACCATAATTCTATTATTTCATAAATCATGTACAATTCATATTTTTCGATGAAAACTGTAATCGGAGATCACATACCATGTTGATATGGTTCATAAACCACTAAATCAATACTTTCATTAAACTCATTTGAAACATATAAAACTATCACGTAGTACATGTGGAACACACTAGAGGATCAAAATATTTATCAGATATTCTACAGAGATACTGGATAATCTTATTGGGCAGAGAAACAAGGATCTTCAGTTTACCGATAGAATGTCAGAATTTAGAATCACTATAGGAATAGTTCAATAACTAACGGAATCATCAGTTATTCAGAATATAACTTTAGCTAATAAGGAAGAAATGAAGATTCAGGACATTTACAGTCGGCGTCGATTTATCGGATTATTGAAATAACTCAAGTTTAATAACTCCCAAAACTAATGCATGTTGACCGGTCCATTCGTTTTCCGACCATGTATTCACTCTTTAATACCAACAATTATTATCCATAAATCAACTTTTGAGTCATCATTGAACATATCTTAAGGAGACGAACATATATTCTAATGGTCTTTATTTCATTTTGACGCTTCCAAGATACCATGAAATGCTGACGTACTTAATTTGCGGTTCATAATCCATAGGGATGATACATCATGTAAGTTCATCAGAATTTATAGGTTTATCCTAATCACTTACTTAATCCTCAGTCATTGAGGTTACTTAGTTCATTTAGCATTGAAGTCCATTCCAGTTACTTAAGGATTTTCTAGAGTAATACAAACATTCCAAAATTTCAGATATATATTGTACTTCCAATCCATTCAATTTGGTCTTTGTTGTTGATTTGTCAAACAAACGTCCAATTCTTAGTACTGAATGCAATCTAGAGTTGAGCTGAGCGAATACTTCCAAAATTATCATCGAGCTAAACTTGAGTAGACGAACACGCATTCAAGTAATATCTATGCCGTTCAGGTACTGACATATCATTAAGGTTGATCGGTTTACTTAAGTTGTGTTCCATAACTTTTTAAAGGTAGTCCAATACCTATGCTTATTTGGATTCCTTAATTAATCCAAGGCATTTACTTAGAATAGGACACAAGGGTATTTTGGTGTTCAATTTTATTCCATTTATTTCAGAGCTCGAAGATATCCAATCATTCCTGAGATTGGTGGTATTTTTGGGTCATTTCCATTATAGGGGTATTTTGGTCAATTTTCTAATTTAAGGTTAACTCAGACTAGTTTACCTCTCAAGGGCATTTTCGTAATTTCTTAACCAGATAATTTCGGTATTAACTCATAATAAAAATAATTATAATTTAGAGATCCTATGGTTAATTGCTTTCCCGAATATTCTTTGATCTTGAAATGATTCCTTAACAGACTTCTAGTATCTTACACAAACCCTCTTGGGGTTAAAAATCGATTATCCACAATTTCTAAGCAAACTAGCATTTCTTATGCACATATGTACTTTTATCAGATCAATATATTCTTTTAGAGTTATTAATCAACTTCCATGGATAATTCTTGGCATTTTACAATATAAGGGTATTTTCGTAATTTTATCAAACTGGAGTATTCTCATTTTCTCATCCTAGTACCCTTAACGTTTAACCTTTGACGAAATAAATTATAATCTACATATCCATGTCTGATTCATTTATCACTTAATCTAGAACTTATAATTTAATTCCAACTGTATTCCAATTCATCTGAGCCATATTCAGTTACCTACTTTCTACCGCATTCATATCGAGTGTAGAACTTCATTAATTTCCATTCATGCATTTACCAATACCAACATGTTTTATAAAGCATAAAGAGGTAGTAATGTATTACCTCAATTTTTGTGCCATATTGATCGACCATTAAATTCCATTTGAATGCCCTCGATCTTGAAATCAACTTCCAATAATTCCTTAGATGCATATCAATAGAAATTACATAAAAATTGAGCTTAATTTTGAAAAACAGATCGAATCGGTGATAAATCAGTGAAAATAACTTACCGGGTTCGAATTTGACGAAATAAACTTCGAATTCGGATTCAGAAAGTCAGAAAAACCAGAAACATTACTCTTGAAATCCATCTCACCAACTTGATTTCTAGCATACAATCTTTTTCTAACGATCACAGACCATCTATCGTACAAATACGATTTCAAATAATTTTCCTCGCCATAAAAATAACTTATTAGAATCTAATTAATAATTCGAAAACCCAATAGATAAAACTAAAAACTTATGGAGCCACTATATATATTCAATTACTAAAGTCAAGGACTAAATTGATTTTATTTAAACCATTATGACATACTCATAACAATTTGGATGCTAGTAAACAAGGTTAAGCTTTTAACAACTTGGATTACTTACCTTGTAATTTCACCTTTTCATTTTAATAACTAACCCCCAAAATTACATGATTTTCTATTCTCCAATTTTTTTTCATTCTCGTTTTCAACTTCAAAACTGGCTAAATTCTCCTGCTCACCACTTGTATTATACATCTCCATCGACGCTTACTCTCACCAAATCCCGCTTCCCCATCTCGACGAGTTGCCTATACACTTCATGGTCGAGCTTAACAGAGCTAAGCAAAGTAGGTGAAACGCAAGAATTCTCTTCAGGGGGCATAAAATCTTCAATATTCGCCAGTTCTCGCTCGTACAAAGAAAACCCGGGAATTAAATCCATTAAATCTTTTAGTTTCAAGTCAAAACCGAAGAGCGAAGCCAGTAAAATCACGAAATGACGACCTGGGAAGCCTTCAACCGGAGAATACTGGTGCGTAGCTGAACCATAAAATTCATTGGCGCTACATGAATTCTGATCACAGTCGTGGCAGAGCATAAGATTATCATCGGAGTAGAGAAAATAAGTCGGTTTGGCTTTGCATCCGTCACAGATCTGTGAACGAACGTGCTTGAGAGAGAAGGCATTGGAAGAGTGGACTTGTTGGCCACATAATAAATAGAGACTTGCGAAGTCGGCACTGCAATACAAAACTGCAGGTTTTGAGTTGCAGAAGTGTCATAAGAACAACATGGATCTTCTTGGTTTTGAAACCAACCTTATCCAAATACTTAGCCTTCAGAATTGGAAAATTTTGAAGATAATGATTTTGAATTGCAGGCCAAGCATCGGTGGAAATAAAGTTCACATTGACAAATAATAATTGAATACAATAATAGAGTTCACATCAGACAAAAGATAGAGAATTCACGTGAATTCTAGAATCCCTTAAACCCTATATTCAATTAAAAAAAACTAACCCCACCAATTGGGGTGTGACATTATACATGTATACACGTCGAACAAGTAATAAAGTTATGAGTGAGTATCGTCCCTACGGGAATTGAGGGAAATTAAGTAAAGATTATGCACTCGAGATATAAATAATAATGTATATAAACGGTATAACAAGATGATATGACTGATGTAACAAAATAAGAAGAGTGTGAAATATTGTAACAATAAGGTAAAGTAAAGTAATGTTGTAACAAAATTGTGTTGAGAATTGTGTTAGCATGAGATAAGACAAAGAGATGAAACTTCACAAGTGTGAAACTTTCAAAAAGGATAAAAGACTGGGTCTATTATGATCTAATATGTCTTTTTTCAAGAAATGACTAACATCTTCCAGTAATACATTGCTCGACAGAGTTTACTAAATTGTTTCTATGATATCTCTAGTAAGAAACTGACAGTGAAAATGCTAAAGCAATACCTCTCAATGTGAACCCTAACATGATACTATCTATGAATTTTTACTCTTTTTAGTCATTAAAACCCTATCCTTATCTCTAAGACAAGTTATAATTTTGCTTCTCAGCTCAACCTCATTGTTCACGTAAATATAAGCTTAACTCTCTCGATATTAAGCATCATACAAAGATTAAGGTTATCTCTCAAACGCTTTTACAAATCCAAGCAATAAAACAGTGAACAAAGTAAGTATTTAAACTGGAAAAATGTATATCATTCATTCAAACATAAAACATCATCATCCATAATAAACTCATGTCAAATAAAGTTCATGGCCGAGTACATATCATTCAACATCATTCGTTTCATTACAACCGAAAAAAGATAAACATAAAAGTTAAGAGCAACTAAAGGAAAATGAAAACTCCGTGAGCTGTCATGAACTGCCGCTAGCTCACTATCTTCTCTCAAAGGGCTAGCTTGCTATCATCTTGAAGCTTCGAAAATGGAGGACTCCCATGAAGAAAAAGAGAAGAAGGAATAAGATGGAGTGGTCGTCTTCCCTTTTCTCTCTTATCTTATACTTTCTATTTTTCCTTTAATGTGAGTGTCCTTTAATATGGAAATATACACCATTTTCCATATAAGTGTGCAGTGGGCTATCTGATAATGTGCGTACATAGCAAACCCTTGCTTGCTTGACAATAGCTGAAAACATTCAATGGTCTTTGTTAAAAGTCAATAATGGTTGCTCCATTCGGTGCATGGTTCAAAGTTTGGCACCGAATGGTGCATGGTTAGTTTGGCATATTTTTTATTGAAAAATGGTAATCAGATAATTGTAAATTTAGTCCCTACAATTTAGGATATTTATAAGATTAGTCCTTAAGCTTCAACTATAAATACCCTAACCCATTTAGCTTTAAAATCATCCCAAAATCATTTCTTTCTCCTAATACTAAAGAGTTTAGAGAGTTTTCTTGTGAGTTGTGAGTGTTTTATAAACACCTGTAAATTTTCTCTCTTTAGTAAAAGATCTGCAGCAGTCTAGAGACGTAGGCATAATTGGTCGAACTCCGGTATCAATTTCGAGTATTATTTTTCCGTTTTTATTTTTGCATTCTCACTAATCTGGTTATAGGAAAATTACTCATTTAATTTTTCAACAACTAGTATCAGAGCTTTTGGTGGGTAATTTTGTCAATTTTATGCGAGGTTACTATTCATGTGAATAGTAAAATTTCGTTGGCGATACGAGTTTGTCGACGGAGGTGTTCTAATACACAGTGGTTCGCAAGAATTGTCAGAAACGATCCAAAAGAAACTAGATTCGAGTGAGAGCGATGGTTGCAAACGAAGGGAATGTGAAAATTGAGAAGTTTGATGGTGTAGATTTTGGCTTTTGAAATATGCATATTGAAGATTTTATGTACCATAAAAATCTATATCAACCTCTCTCAGGAAAACAACCAGAGGGTATGAAGGATGAAGACTGGGCTTGTCTCAAAAGACAAGCCCTCGGAGTTATCCGACTGACGTTATCCCGCAATGTTGCTTTCAACATAACAAAAAAAATACCACGGTGGGTCTTATGGCAGCTCTCTCCAGTATGTATGAGAAGTCATCGGAATCAAACAAAGTTCACTTGATGAGGCGATTATTCAATTTGCGGATGGCGGAAGGGGCATCAGTGGCTCAACACCTAAATGAACTCAACACAATCACAACCCAGTTGAGTTCTATGGAAATTAAATTCGATGATGAAGTTTGAGCTTTAATTCTCTTATTATCTCTACCAGACAGTTGGAATGCTACTGTTACAACAATCAGCATCTCATCGGGAAATAGTAAATTGAAATTTGACGATGTTCGGGATCTGGTATTGAGTGAATAAATTCAACGGAGAGAATCGGGTGAAGCATCAAGCTCCTCAGCCTTGCACACGGAGTCTAGAGGGAGAACTTTAGAAAGAAATCCAAATCGTGGCAGATCGAAATCTACAAAGGGGAAAATCAAGAACGGGGAAAAAAGATTTTAACTATTATAATTGCGGCAAGATGAGTCACTTTAAAAGAGATTGTCGAGCACCGAAGAAAGATACTAAAGCACAAAAATCTGCCAACGTGATAGAGGAAACAGGTGATGCCATGTTTCTAAGCGTCAATAGTCCTATTGAATCATGGATCTTGGATTCAGGAGCATCTTTCCACTCCACCCCATGCCAAGAAATCATGGAGAACTATGTCAGTGGTATTTTGGGAAGGTTCATCTAGCTGATGATGAAACCTTGAAGATCATTGGAAAAGTAGACATCCGATTAAAGTTGCCAAACCAGATAACCTGGAAGTTGAAAGGAGTGAGACATATTCCTGGCCTCAAAAGAAATTTGATTTTTGTAGGACATCTTGATGGAGAAAGATATTGTATAACCTTTTCAGGCTATAAATGGAAGATTACCAAAGGAGCACTCGTCATTTCTCGTGGTAAGAAAACTGGTACTCTCTATGTAACCTAAAATTTGGAGAATATCATTGTAGTAGAAGATGTTGATGGAAAATCAAACCTATGGCACCAAAGGCTTGGCCATATGAGCGAGAAAGGAATGAAGACACTTTTGTCAAAAGGGAAGCTGCCGGATCTAAAGAATATAGATGTCGGACTATGTGAGGATAGTATCTTTGGCAAACAAAAGAAAGTTAGTTTTGCAAAGATTGGCAGGACACCCAAGGCAGAAAAGTTAGAGTTGGTTTATATTGATGTATGGGGACCATCTCCAGTTCCATCTCTTGCAGGCTCACTATATTATGTCACCTTCATCGATGATTCTACAAGGAATGTGTGGGTTTATTTTCTAAAGAAGAAATTAGAAGTCTTTGATACCTTTAGAAAATGGAAGGCCATGGTGGAAAATGAGATTGGTTTGAAAGTCAAGCGGTTGAGGTCTGATAATGGACGAGAATATAGAAATAGTAGATTTAGAGAATTTTACGCAAACAATGGGATCAAGATGGAGACAACAGTTCCCATGACACCGCAATAGAATTGCGTAGCAGAGCACAAGAACATAACTCTGAATGAACGTGCCAGAAGAATGATGATACATGTCGGCTTGCCCAAATTACTATAGGCTCAAGCTATTAACACTGCAGCTTACCTGATCAACCGTGGGCCCTCAATTCCCTTGGATGGAGGAATACCAGAGGAAGTTTGGAGTAGAAAAGAAATAAACCTTTCACACTTAAGAGTGTTTGGTTGTATTTCTTATGTACACATAAATTCTGCTGAAAAATGTAAACTTGATGCTAAGTCCAACAAATGTGTCTTTGTTAGTTATGGTGGTGATGAGTTTGGTTACCGGTTTTGGGACTATGAAAATCGAAAGATCATCATAAGCATAGATGTCATTTTCAATGAGATTGTGATGTACAAAGATAGGTCAACCATAGAATCAAGTAGCTCCAATACCGAAGCTGAAACAAAGGAATTTGCTGAGTTTGAAGAGATTTCTGGAAATGATGTTCAGATCAGTCCTGAAGCAGTTCAAAAAGAACCAGGCACACCAGAACTGAGACGCTCCTCCAGAATTCCTAAACCAACCCAGCATTATTCGCCTTCTTTGCACTATTTATTACTGACTGACAATGGTGAACCAGAGTGCTATGATGAAGAAATACAGGTGGAGGATTCAATCATGTGGGAGTTTTCCATGAAAGATGAGATGGACTCGCTTATGTCAAATCAGACGTGGGAATTAGTTGAATTACCACCAGGCAAGAAAGCACTCCATAATAAGTGAGTTTATAGGATCAAAAAAGAGCACGATGAAAGCAAACGCTAAAAAGCAAGATTGATTGTCAAATGTTTTCAGCAAAAAAGGTATTGACTACAATGAAATTTTCTCTCCAGTCATGAAACTGTCTACAATCAGATTGGTCTTGAAAATTATAGCTGCAGAGAATCTACATCTTGAGCAGTTAGATGTGAAGACAACTTTCCTTCATGGTGATTTGGAGGAAGAAATCTATATGAGGCAGCCAGAAGGCTTCATAGAGGCAGACAAGAGAAACCTTGTATGCAGGTTGAAGAAGAGCTTGTATGGTTTAAAACAAGCTCCTAGACAGTGGTACAAGAAGTTTGATAGCTTCATGGGTAGCAGTGGTTTTACCATATGCCAAACAGATCATTGTTGCTACATCAAGAAGTTCGACAATAGCTTCATTATTTTATTGTTGTATGTTAATGATAGCGGCTCAAACATGCAAGAGATTTTAAACTTGAAGCAAAAATTGTCGAAGCACTTTGTAATGAAAGATCTGGGCGCTGCAAAGTAGATTATTGGGATGAGGATCAAGAGAGACACAAAGTTGGGGACTTTGATGTTATCACAGGCTGAGTACATTAATAAAGTACTCTCCAGGTTCAACATGCAAGATGCTAAACCAGTAAGTAAACCTTTAGGTGTTCATTTTAGACTCTCCAAAGAACATTCACCAAAGACAGAGGAAGAACTTGCACATATGGTAAAGGTGTCATATGCCTCAGCAATTGGAAGTCTGATGTATGCCATGGTTTGTACTAGACCAGATATTGCTCAAGCAGTAGGAGCTATTAGCAGGTACATGAATAATCCGGGCAAGGTACACTGGGAAGCAGTCAAATGGATCCTCAGATATCTGTGGGGTACCACAAACAAAGCACTTTATTTCAAATATGGAGATACGATACTGACAGGCTATGCATATACTGACTTAGCTGGAAATGTTGACATCAGAAGAAGCACTACATGGTATGTCTATACTCTAAGAGATACCATAGTGAGTTGGGTTTCTCAACTACAGAAGATAGTTGCTCTATCCACAACTGAAGCAAAATATGTCGCTGTTACGAAAGCCAGCAAGGAGATGGTTTAGCTCCAAAGTTTATTGGAAGAGTTAGGCAAGAAACAAGAAAACAATGTCTTGTATTGCGATAATCAAAGTGTTATCCATCTAGCAAAGAATTCGTCTTTTCATTCCAGGATGAAGCACATACAATTGAGATATCATTTTATCCGGTCTCTTCGGGAAGATGGAATTTTGAAACTTGAAAAGATTAGTGGAGCTCAAAATCTGAAACACATGTTGATAAAGACGGTGACTACGGACAAACTGAAGTTGTGTTCAGCTTCAGTTGGCATGCTAGAATAACAAGACTAGAAATGATGCTACATTGATCAAGGTGTGAAGACAGATTAAAATCAGTCTTCAAGTGAGAGATAGTTAAAAGTCAATAATGGCTGCACCATTCGGTGCATGGTTCAAAGTTTGGCACCGAATGGTGCATAATTCAAAGTTTGGCAGATTTTTTATTGAAAAATAGTAATAGGATAATTACAAATTTAGTCCATGCAATTTAGGGTATTTATAAGATTAGTCCTTAAGCTTCAAGTATAAATACCCTAACTCATTTAGCTTCAAAATCATCCTAAAATTATTTCTTTATCCCAATACTAAAGAGTTTAGAGAGTTTTTTTATGAGTTGTGAGTGTTTTGTAAACACTTGTAAATTTTCTCTCTTTAGTAAAAGATTTGCAGCAGTCTGGAGACGTAGGCATAATTGGCCGAAATCCGTTATCAATTTCGGGTATTATTTTTTCGCTTTTATTTTCACATTCTCACTAATCTGATTATAGAAAAAAATTACTCGTTTAATTTCCCAACAGTCTCCACCCCCAGCCAGATGGATTTGTCTCAATTCTCCAAGAATATTGACATCACAACGGTTTTACAGGGAAACTATAAGCTATATTTGAAGGTTTAAATATTGCAAAGGATAACTTCAGTCACATCCTTGTCTAATCTGATAACATTGACGCGATCAAACTTCTCAATCCTCCTTCCCAGTATAGTCCTTTTTCGCTAGTTCGCTCTATACGCCTCCTTTGCGAGAAAGATTGAATTATAAATTCACAAGTGTCTCGTGAATCCAACATGACAACTAATTTCCTATCCAAACATGAGATTTTTTTTGTTGTGGCCATCCATGAGTCGTCTGTTCGAGATTGTCTTAGGAAAGGCGGGTTAATATACAGCGTTACCGGATATATTATAATATATTTAACAAAATGGGTTCAGCGCTATGAGAAATGTTGAGTAATAATAATGTAGTAGGTCTAAATCATGAAGAAATATTAAAAAATTTAGCAACCGACAAACTTAGCTTATCGGTTTGTGTCGATACAAATGAAAAATGTATCGATCCATAACAATATAACAGGTAAAAATATGACAAAACAGGTAAAGCGCTACCGGATATGTTGAAAGTGTCGATAATTTAATATAAGTATCGACACTTTCTGAATTTAAAAGAAAAGAAGTTATAGCGCCTAAAACATGTCGACACTTTATGCAAATGTATCAATCCATAACAATATAACAACCTAAAATATGACAAAATCGGTCTCAAAATGACAAAACAGGTAAATAACTATCGGATATGTTGAAAGTGTCGATACTTTAATATAAGTATCTACACTTTTGGAATTTAAAAGAGAAGAAGTTATAGCGCCTATAAAGTGTCGATACTTTAAAAAAATGTATCGATCCATAACAATATAACAGGTAAAAATAGGACAAAAAAGGTCTAAAAAATGACAAAACCGGTAAAACGATACCGAATATATTGAAAGTTTCGATAATTTAATATAAGTATCGACACTTTCTGAATTTAAAAGAGAAGAAGTTATAGCGCCTAAAACATGTCGACACTTTAAAAAATGTATCGATCCATAACAATATAACAGCCTAAAATATGACAAAACCGGTCTCAAAATGACAAAACAGGTAAATAACTACCGGATATGTTGAAAGTGTCGATACTTTAATATAAGTATCGACACTTTTGGAATTTAAAAGAGAAGAAGTTATAGCGCCTATAAAGTGTCGATACTTTAAAAAAATGTATAGATCCATAACAATATAACAGGTAAAAATAAGACAAAACAGGTCTAAAAAATGACAAAACCGGTAAAACGATACCGGATATATTGAAAGTGTCGATAATTTAATATAAGTATCGACACTTTCTAAATTTAAAAGAGAAGAAGTTATAGCGCCTAAAACGTGTCGACACTTTAAAAAATGTATCGATCCATAACAATATAACAGCCTA